TGCTAATCATGTGTCCCTTCATGATTATATTTTTTTTCCTTTACCTTCTGCCAACATTTTGACTAGGCAGGTTATTTACCTGGTGGATCAAACCAAAGCTTTAGTCCTACCAAATCATATTCCTTTGCTTTTTTTTTCTTAATGAGGATGCTACAATACCAATTCAAAATGGAAATTGGAATGTAGAAATGTGAAATTGGAAAGAGAGATGGAGTTGAACAAAGGCATATTTGTGAATCTGCTGAGTTCCAAATATAGTATTCCTTGCCCTCCTTGTAGAATAAAGACACATTTCTTCCTGGCAGATGAGATTAATCATCAGACTCAACTCAGTGACTATGTTTCCTGCCAGTTTATTTTTCTCAGTCATATTGAGCCCAAAATGGTCAGAAGGAAATTCTAGCTTCCAATTCGGAGGAACATAATTACCACTATATTCTCTGTAGGAGATAATCCTCCTTCAGGCATTAAGAATTCTAAACCCACCAAGCTCATTATCATGAGGACAAAATCCAAAATGTGTCCAGTGGATTATTAATTGATAGTGAAAGAAAACACTGCACTTCCACCCCCTAGTTCCTAGATCTGTGCTTTCCTGGCTGTGCAGGAAGGATACTTGCATGTTGTAGAATGACATCCCAACTACAAGGTCATTGTCAAATAAATAGTGCCAAGACCCAGATGGAGCATGCCATGTCACTCCTCTACAAGCCAGGTACATAGAGCCAATGGGGAACATGATGAGAACAGTGCATTTGATGAATCTGAGCCCATTGCTCTTCTTTTGCTATAAAATATTGCTTGTTTGGAAGTGACATAGTAATGAATGTTATTCTGTAAGTCCACAGAGAGTAGTGTTGATAGAACTGCAGGCAGCAAAGGCATATACATACCTATAATAATGATAAAACACTACCCTTATTGATTGATAGAATGGCTCCCACTTAAGCCACCTGCCAAGAGGTAGTCAGCTGGAACTGCGGGGTAATAATGCCATATCAACAGTTTAGTGACAACCATTGTTATCGGCAAATAATGGTGGGAGTCAGAGCCAACTGATGTTCACTTGGTAATCACCTTGCCCATTGGATTATTGAGAGCAGCCCTGCTGTGAATGTGCTCTGTTGAACATTAAGAGAAACACTTACGTCTTCACATTTTTACCCCTTCTGACAAATCTGTGCACTTATTGCCCTAGCTGGTTTGGTTCAGTGGACAAAGCGTTGGCCTGCAGACTGAAGGGTCCCAGGTTTAATTCTGATCAAGGGCACATGCCTGGGTTGCCAGCTCAATCCCCACTAGGGGGCATGCAGGAGGCAATCAATCAAAGATTCTCATCATTGATGTTTCTCTCCCTTCCTCTCTGAAATCAATAAAAATAGATTTAAACAAAAATATGTGCACTCATTCCCCCCCTAATCTTTCTTTTCACTAATTTTCTAATGCTACTCTTCTCCTTGGGTGGCCATTTATTAGTTATTGTGCATAAGTCAGGGATCCATATTTTATGCCACGTCTCCTCCCACATGTAGTGGAAAACTAAATATCTGTGCAGAAGTCTGCCAGCTCAGAGGATTTATGTTACTATAGTCTTGTACTGCCATTCCTGAGTCAGATTGTAGTCCAGGGCCTATCCAATTCCAGAGTGTTCAAGTACAATGTGCAAATCTGCCTATTCACCAGACGTGCATTTATGACTTTTCTGCCAACCTGTGTTAGAAATACATCTTGAGGCCGAGATGTGAGATAATGTAGGAGGAAAAAGCAGTGGGTGCAATCCCATGAGTAACTGACTTATGTGTTCTGGGCCAATCCCATACACCAGTATACTGCTTTTTTCTTTTTCTTTCTTTTTTTTTGTAGTGAAATGTTGCTGTTTGTGTTTAGTTTTATGGTCAGTGAGTCAGATAATAGTCAGTTCATGATGGGCATTTGGGTTGCATAGTCACTCGCTATCCCATGGTCAGACTAATTGCTTTTGCCAGAGCCAAGTAAAGAGCTGCTTTAGAAATAAAGAATATTTATCAGCACAGGGGAAAGGGTCTTTCTGGGAAGCTTGTATTGCCTGTGCTTTGATCACCATATGATGAGCGTCCGAAGCTCCACAGTATCTCCATTCGCCATGGATACTTGCCTTGCCCTTGTGTCTGCGGGGCCACTAGGTGAAAGTGGTAGGGAAGGTTGCACCATGGCCTTGATCTGCTGCATAGCTCTCACTTGCTCAAGTCCTACTCAGAGCCGGCACCTTTACAGTTTAGATGGGAAATAGAACAAGGCAGCACATGTGAATGTAGTTCACATTTTCTTCAAAATCGAGAGTCCAGAACCTCTTTACTTTTATACAAGTACAGTATCAATTAATTTTCTCTCAGTGTAAAAGAGATAGACCAATATATCCCAAAATGCTAGATCTCAACTATTCCCTAAGGATGCAGACTGTTAAACTTTGCAGAGATTCCTCTTCCACTGCACCTTTATGCTTTTATAGATAGAGGTTGCCTCTGTTAACAGACTTGTGGGAATTGGAGGTTCAAAATATTAATCCATAAAATTAGATACATATAGCAGTATCCCACTATGAAATCTATTATTTCTGAGGCTGGTTCAGAAAGCACAAGCAGAGTGCACATGTTTATACAAAAATCCTTATTTTATGTATCAGGGGCCCAGCACTTCTCTACCATTATCTCTATCTTAACTTTAAGAAACAAGTGCATTTGAGCTCCTGATTTGTGTTGCCTTTTTCAACCCTTACTGTTGGCATAGGTAGTTAATTAGTATTAATGAAGGAAGGGAGAAAGTAGAACTAGATACAAAATTTAATACACTTGGAGGTTGAATTAGATATTAGGCTTGCTTCACTAGGAAATTACAGCTCTCCATTAAACTTGACTTACCAGGAAGCTACAGCATTCACAGACTCATTCACATATTCCAAGGGATCACTTTATTCTCCATGGAGGGTATTTAATCCTTGAAGCAGGCAGGATGAGTCTCTTCCGGTGCAATCTGCCCAATACCAACTGGCAGAGGACCATGGTATGTGGTAGAAGAGGAAAATTTTAGCTGAACACATGCCCAGTAGTAGACAAGATGATGCAGAAGGGGGTGTTTAGAGTTTGAGGCATGGCAATAGATGCCAAAATTGCAACAAGAAGGGGTGAAGCCTAGCCTGAGAAAGGGAATGGATTGGATGAGGGCACAGGACCCTAAAAGGTCAAGGAAAGATATTAGTTAGGGGGAGGAACCCAACTCATACTCTGGGAAAATCAGAAGCTAGGTTGGATGGTTTTGGTTTTGAATGAAAGCTTGCTACTTACTGAGAACCACGAACATATATGAAGAATTATCAAGAACCTGGGGAATCTGCTGATAGAGGCTTGACACCCTCTCCATTCCCATGGTGTAGTATTTCCCCTCATTCCAATAAATCTTACCATATGTTTACTGATAAACATCCTCCATGCATTCCTTTGAAACTGTTTTCTCAAGACATTAAAAAAGAATCCATTTTCACTGGCAACATTAATATGATCTGGTGGATCTCAACCATATCTGCCCTGCAGCTACAAAAGAGAGGGACTCCTTCAAATATGTCATGGTGACCTTTCGTGTATTCCAAATCTTGCAGTCATGGATTTAGTTTACGTTTTTCCCTATGTAACAGCTGTCAGATGTCATAAGAACCAGGTAAACTTTACAATCTTTATAGCTGCCACTGCCGTAGCAACTAAGTCACAATCTTTTGTCCTCTCAATACCTTTCCTCCCTATTTGCACTTCATTTCACATCATTATCAGTGACAATTGATTACTCATGCTTCCATTCCTTACTATGGATTATGTATGCTACAATTCTTCCTGGAAAGGTAATTATTAAATCAAAGATAGTACATATAGTTATAGAGGTGGATATATCTCCAACCTAATCTCAAAATCTAATTTTGAAGATCTCTTTCCTGAGTCTACTGCTGCTATTAATTATTGTATCAGTCAGGGTCCCAGGAGAAAAGAGGTGGCGCATTCAATAATTTGAAGAGGATTTATGTACAAAGAGACCATTTACAAAGTGAAAGTGTATGGGAAATATAAAGGACAGAGCTACAATTTAAACTAGCAGCAGCCTATGACTATAGAGATGAACCATTACCAAATACAAAGCAGAAAATTGTGGAGAGGTGGCTGCATTGACAAGAGGAGAGAGATCATTTAAAACACACAGCAAGCTTAAGGTGACATATCAAGACAGAGTTAAAGGAGTAAATACTGTGACTTTATGCTCCCCTGAGCTATTGCTAAAGAACCCTAATGGCCATATTCTACAGGGCATGAGAATCCCATTGATGTGCTTCATACAGGTTAATTTTCTGGGTCAGAAAGCAGGCATATAAAAGTAGATAGTGAATCTGGAGCCACACAAAAAAATACCTGGTATATTTCTTATTCTATATAATAAAGAAGCAAATTGACCATCACACCCTCACAAAGATGGCTGCCTATGTCCAAGCCAGCAGGGGGGTTAGTGAGAGATGACCAAATGACTGAACAAGCAGGTTGTGTGGGGCAACCAAGCCAGCGGGGGGGGGAGGGTGTGGAGGTTGGGAGCAACCAACCGGCAGAGGGGGGCAGGCTGGCAGGGAAGGGATAGTTGGGACTGACCTGGCTAGCAGGCAGGTGACTGATTAAGAGCCAGCAGTCCAAGATTTTAGTATTTGAAAACGTCTGCTTTCTTTTCACTATGGCAGTACTTTCATTGTCTCCATTCAATTGTTGGCAACCCATGACATCCTGACCTTATTGCTTTCTTCCTTCCTTTATTGCATCTGCTTTTCCTGGGATCAAAGGGGTAGCATATAAATAGAGAATGCTTTATGAAGTTGATGAAGTCCAGCACAAGTGTAGAAAATGTACATGAACAATGAAGCTTTCAAGGACAGATGTTTGTGGGTCACTGAGCCCACATCTCTACAGTGGGTTTCAAATAACACTCATTTATTCTAGAAGAACTTCTGCATTCTCACATCGCCCACTGGTGGTCACCAGATGGAGAAAGGCTTGCCTTCCTGATGATAAATGATTCACTGGTGCCTAACATGGTTATTCCTCGGTATACTGGAGCATTGTATCCCAAAGGAAAGCAGTATCCGTATCCTAAGGTAAGTCATGTGGCAGCGCTTGTGTGTTGCCCCTTGCTCTACACCAGTGACTTCACTGATGGTATTCTTGGTTCATGAACAAGTTGTCTTTGGAGAAAAAAGAAAGCATTGTTTTAGAGCTTTCAGTAGTCTTCACACTGCTTGGGTAGGAGGAGATCAAGATGTGGGGAGGTGGGAACTTTGACCTTGTTGCATTTCTTTCCCTTTGATGCTCTAATTCTTGCTTTCCCTCATCTCTCACTTGTAAGATGGCGAGGAGATATAAGGGGTCTTTCTCCAAGGTATATTCTGTGAGTTGTCAATAGATGTTATAAAGGAGGGAAAAGTGCTCTCCTCAAATACACTGGAAATTCTTAGTTGACAAAAAATCTAGCTTCTCTCAAGATGATTTCTTAGAGCACTTAATGTACTATATGTTAATGCATATTATAAATCTCCTATAAAAAGTAGACTAAGCATAAAGAATCTGCAGAAGCATAAAGAATCACCAATAAAGAATAGACTAAGCATAAAGGATTTATTAGCATTAACTTCAGTACTGTTTTGGCAGAGCAAACTCTGGAACATACTCTATAAAACGCTGGGGTAGAGCCATGGCCAGGCGCAGCGAGGATAAAATTGTTTTATTGAGTGAGGCAAAGGCAGAAAACCTGTGCAGATGGTGAAACCATTTTCAAATGTTAGGTGAGGCTTCTAGAGCAGGTTGTAAAAACACCTGGAGTGTGTTGGTTTTCCAGTTTATTTCATGTTTAATTACTTAAGGTCTCCTTTGTAAAGTTTACTTTCCCCATCTTATATGAGAAAGGGAAAGGCTCCTAAGTGAGGCCCTCTATGCATCAATCACGTAAAGATACCTCATAGCAAACTTTTAAAAATTCACTTTACACATTTTAGCTCTTCATTAGAATAAGACATGGCTGCTAGTTTCATCTGGAGGCCATTTTTAGTGAGTTGTATTTTTGTATTTCCTAGCATGATAGATTTTATATTTTTCAATTTGCATATTATATTAACTGGGCAGAGTGCTGGACAAATTACTTATCACACATATTATTTTACACCTGCAGTGAAGGTATGGTCCCTGTTGGGGTGACTGTCCTTATTTTCTATCATCTGCTAGACTTAAGTTTTTCAAGGTGGGGGGGGGGGAAGGCTTTATGGAGAGTCGGGCATAAACAGAGACTTTCCTCCATGAGGTTCTGTACTGTTTTTCTCCAACCCGACTTCCTTCCACAGGGTGTGGCATTAAATAACAGATGCCTAAAGGGGACAGCAGGGAGGAAAGAAATCAGATCCCAGGATTCTGAAATACTATTTGTAGGGTCTCCTCTGGACATGCATTGGAAGTCCCACATGCTCAGTGTTCTTCAGGAGAAAATAGCCATTTGACCTAACACCAAAATAAACGTATTCACAGAGACTTTTATTCTATTCCAATAAACGCACTGCCAGTTTGTGCCTGCCCAGCACATTGTGGCTTTTTCCAGAGAAAAACAGAAAAGACTTCTCAATACATTATTAATCCTCACACCATTGGATTTACTTATTGTAATGAAAGGTTATCAGATAATTCTGATAAATTGAAGGGCTGGTAGAACATTATGTAATGCTTAGGTCAATAAGTAAGATCTTCACACAGAACTGTCCAGCTTGTGCACTGAACAAAGAATAAAATCAACCCTGGGATGGGTCAGCTTTTTGTAATTCATTTCCCCCAAATGGTGAGGATTTTAGGATTCACAGTGAAGAGCCATACACAGTAGCTGCATCTTCAAGTTTCCTTCTTAAGACTTTGGTGCTTGAGCTTGGACATTCTCAGTCCTCATAATTTTAACAAGACTGAGGCAAACAAAGGAACAAATAAAAGCATCTGAGGACATTTAAGTATGTCAGCAGTAATTAAACAGATCCTGATCGACAAACCTTGACACTTATTTAATAAGTTGATATTTAATTAGTTTTTAAATATTTCTTAATAGTTAAGCTAAGCATGAAATAATAGTACTATTTACTTATTAATTGTATGAAGCATGTGTTGAAGCAGGTGTCCTAATAGCATGCTTTATGTTTTCAGAGACTTTTCATTGTTTTCCTCTTTCGTCCTCCTCACAATTGCCTTTTTTTTTTTTTAAACAAATAAACAATCTTTGATTCTAAAAGGCCAAATCCTTGTATGAAAGTCACAGTTATTTTAAGAGCAGGGAAATAACTCACATTTATCGATTCTGTCCCTCTCCATAAAGCTATTAAAGGTTAGCATATCACAGAAGTTGTACCAGGAATGAAAATGTCTCCCGGTCAAGCTAACAAATGTATGTGGAGCTGTGCTTGCTTCCCTTACTGTTAGTGACTTAGCTCTGCACTGGGTTGGGCCAGAGTAGGTTTACAGTTGTGAGTCTGGGAAACATGGTTTATTTTTTTATTATTATTTATTAATTATGGTAGTATTTTCCATACAAACAACTATAAACCTACTTTAGTTCTACCCTGTATTACTAACATTCTTAGGAAGCCTCACACTTGCCACATTTAAACATATACTAATATATGTCTGTATGTAATGCATGTTGTATGTCAGGCATCATGGATGTAATACATGATGGATGCAATACTTGATGGATGCAATACATGATGAAGGTCCTGAGTGTGTGTTAGTGACCACCATTTAGGAGTATTAAAATGAAAAACAGGTATTTCAATGGCCAAAACTGAAAGAATCCCAAGTTCTTAGGTGGTTGCCAGTAGAAATCGCTGCCTAACTATTTAAGACAATAGGACTCAAAGAGACTAGGTCTGGGTTTTGGTCTTTGTTTTCATACTAACTTTCACTGTTATGTTGGGTGTATTACTTGAATTTTCAAGGTCTTATTATTTTCTACTCTGGGTTTTAAAAAAGGTGTGCTTTTTTTTTACTAACACATGTATTTTGATTTGCTCTTACTTACTTAATAAACTTCCGAAAATGGTATTTTAGACATTGAAGTAATGCATAGAGTTCACACTAAATTGTGTTTCAAATTAAACTTGATTAAAGTGAGTGTATAAAATACCCAATGTAGTAAGATTTACTAATGAAATACTTACACTAAACAAATATATTTGTATTTTACTTAATTCAGCATGGTGCAGAACTCATAAAATATCCTTCATTAGCAATTCAGCACAAAAGAGATGCACAGTTCTATCTCAGTAACCTCAGGTTAATGTTCTTAATTAAAACATTATCTCGTTTAATGGCAATTTAGTTGCCAGTAAAATAAGGTTAATTATTATTGAGGCTTTATTTCAGAATCATAGAGGAAGAAGTCTGTGGAGTTGCAGTTTTTGTGGCAAATGTGACTGTTAAAGCACATAGATGAACTCCTCTAATCTCCAAACTATTGAGACAATTCAAATATCCAAAGGTGCAGATGAACTCTCAATGTGCACTTAATTTCAAAACTCCAAGAAAAGATAAGAATCTAATTAAGATTATAAAATGCTGAACAGCTGAATTTTGGAAACAGCCTGATGTTTGGTTTTTATATAAAATTGGCCACATGTGTATGTGGCTGTTAATTTGTTTTCAAGTAGAAGCTACTTGGGATATTTGTGATTCTGTGCAAGTAACTTACAGTGCTGTGGCCTTAAGAGATGGTAATGACCATACACGTTTTTGATAAAATTAAGGTGTCACATCATAAAATTATGTAGCATTGATAAGAACTCACAGAAAGATCAAATGTAATGCAACTTCCTTTTTTCTTTAATCAATTTATTGAAAGAAAAAACATAAACACAATTTTTCACTAATTAGAGCGGTCAGTGTCTTAGTAATAACTATCATTTTTAATTCATTACTTTATATATGTAGGTACTTTTATAAATCATTTTTTTGTCAGTCCATATAACAATCTATGAGATACTTTTATCTACAGAAAGAAAGCCTACTTTGGGTCAAAACTTCTAACTTGTGACAGATTATGTTCAGAGTGCTGTCTCTCTCTCATTATTATTATTTTTTTAATCCTCACCCAATGATATATTTATTGACTTTAGAGGATAATAGAAACATCTATCAGTTGCCTCCTGTACCCACCCAAAACCTAGGTATGTGCCCTTAAGAGAAATTGTACCCACAAGCTTTAGGTATATGGGAGGAAGCTCCACCCAACTGAACCCCCAGCCAGGACAGAGAATTGTCTTATTTTTTTTTAATAAAAAAAATAAAATAATACTTCAGGATTGTTAACATCTTGTCCATGGTTTATTTGCAGCAAAATTTGAACCCAAAATTCTCTGACTCACAGATAAAGCTAAACCAGTTCTCAAAATGTGGTTCTTTTGCCAATAGTGTCAGCATCCTTTGGGGAATTTTTAGAAATGCAAATTTGTCATCTCCAATCAGGAGTTAAAAATGATGGAGGGGGGCCTTGATGTTCGCTGGGTGATTAAAAGCAGGTTAACCTCTGATAATCACTGAATTTCCATAACTATAATCAGTATGCAAATTTTGACAAAACCCTCGTGTTTATGTATTGATATTTATCTATCAGTATTTTAAAAATATTTTCACAGTGATTATAATAATCTGGATCTTGATGAACATGGATTCTTGGGCCCACACCCTGAGATTCTGATTCTGGCTTTGAATATAGCCCATAAACTTGTTATTCTAAGGTTCCAGGGAATGCTGATTGATATTCTTGATTAAAGAACAACAGTTTGAATGGCACCACTAAATACTGTGTCCCAGCTCAAAGTTTTAACACATATGTTAGAGAACTAGTTAGACTAAAAATATATGGATAAGGCCAATATTGTTAGGTGGAAAATGGCAATTTAATGAAAGCAAAAGTGATGTGAAAGAGAGCTCCAAGGTGTGGTCTAACACTACATTGCTGGAGACAAATATTCCTAGACTTCGGAGGGCTTTAGAATGATGAAAAGCTTTACAAAATTGTTCTGTGTGAGGCAGGCTCACAGCTTATCTTCCAGAGAGCCCTTTACCCAAGGAACCATTTCCAGAATGTTTCCTCAGTCACAGCGCTTCTGGAGTGACAGCCTTTCTGACTTGTTTCTTGGACTCCAAACTTCTGACCTGTGTTTGAAACACTCCCACAGATGTGCCAATCATTTTTCTTTATAGACTTTAGTTTTTTAGAGCAGTTTAAGGTTGTCAACAAAATTGAGGAGATGGAAATTACTTGCCATATACCTTCTGCTCCATACATTTATGGCCTGTCCATCATCAACATCCCCCACCAGAACTGTGCATTTTGTGTCATTGACAAAGCATCATGGACACATGATAATGACTCAGCATCCATAGTTTTATGGTTCAGTTTTGGCACTACCGTGTTTCCCCGAAAATAAGACATCTTCCGAAAATAAGACCTACTTACAGGTTTCCTTCTGAGTGAAATATAAGGCATCCTCCTGAAAATAAGGCCCTCCCTCCCCCCACCAGGCTAAACATGAGAGATTTGGTCCACTGATTCTGAAAGAAATGGAGACACAAGAAATTCAGGAATTGGATTGTTATGATGATGTTCCAAAAGATGATGACATGATTGTCTTTGAATAAATGAGTAAATTCTTGATACTGTAGGATTCACAGTTTGTCTGGTTTGTGTTGACAACTACCGCACTACCGTACCGTATACAGGTAATACATTTCCTTTATTTTCATTTAACAATAAATGTGTACCATATTCTTCTTCATGGAAAAATAAGACTTCCCCTGAAAATAAGACCTAGCTCATCTTTGGGAGCAAAAATTAATATAAGACACTGTCTTATTTTCGGGGAAATAGGGTATTCATTCTATGGCTTCAGAGAAGTGTATAATGACACATATCCCTCTCCATGGTATCATGCAGAATGTTTTCACTGTCCTACAAATCCTCTTACTGACTGGACTTGCTCACCTTTCTTCCCTTCCCTCCATGCTCATATTATTAAGAACCTAACAGAAGAGTTCTTGAGCTACTGCTAACTATTGGTAGAATGTATTCAATCATTTCTGACCCTGATTTAACTCTGGATTTTGTAGCTGCCAAGTCCGTGAGCATGAATATTTCTTTGTCATCTTTAAGGCCATTTTATTGTTCTCTTTAGACTTTTGTCAGGTCTTTGAATTCAGCTCAGTTTAAATTCCTTGTCCTCCTCTGTATAGTTCCTATACTCCTCTCTTAATGCACCAGCCTATGTTTGAAACACTCCCACAGATGTGCTAGTCACTTTTCTTTATAGACTTGGAATAAATAAATTGAGTCACAGCAGTCAACTGATTCTGTTAATCATTTATTCACATAAATTTCATTTCATTCAATATGCTTGAGATTTGTTGGAGAAAGATCCCATATCTACTCCCTGAAATGTCACAGTCTATTTAGAAAACTGCAATGGCCATTGCCTAAATGAATTAAAGCAAAACTACAATTGTTAAGAGTACTCTGGGTTTGAATATGGCTTCCTTCACTGAATGGGCACCTCACCTTGCACAGTTTGCTGAGCATCTCCTTTTTCATCTGGAAAATGTTATAATTATAATCTTAGTTCTATAGTGGGAACATTTAATGAGATAATTCATGTAACGTTTAACAGATATTATTGACAAGAAACATAGTAACTGCTTTATAATTGGTTATGATCTAATACAATTTTTATTATGAAACTCAAATGACATATTCTTACTGTCTTTCTGCTCTGCATGCCAGGTACTGAGTGAGGGCAGCCTGCTCATGGCCCACGTCCTAAGGGCCACTTATAACCCATCTAACACTCATAAATGCCAAAGGAAACCTAGGATGATTAATTCATGAAATAGAATTTGGTATTGTGCAATTTTAAGCATGTGGCACCTGCATTGGTATATTTTTCTGTCTTTTTTTATTATTGTTATTTTTTAACTAGCCAAGCGCTTTTCATCATTACACATTATATCCTATAACATGAGTAGCTGCTTGAGCTACTAGTTTTAATAAAGCCAGCCCTCTGTTGTCATTCTAGGAAAAGAACACAGTAGCACTAGCTAATGAATAAAGTCATCATGATTTTCTATCACCTTTAATTGTCTGACTAAAGTGGTTTGAGAAGCAGCAATATTCAAAAAACAATTGAAAGCAATCAAGTGGCTGAATTTAAAATCATTTCTACTTCAGCAAAATTAAACTTTTCCCCCAATTCTAACACAAAATTATGAGTCAAATGCATTTCCCTTCTTTCTTCATACAGTCTAATGCTTAATGTATTTGCCTTACAACTTTCATTTTCTCAAAGGCAGGTCAAGTGAACCCAACAATCAAATTATATGTTGTTAACCTATATGGACCAACTCATACTTTGGAACTCATGCCACCCGACATCTTTAAATCAAGGTATGCAATTTCAATTTCACTTTTAACAGAGAATAGATAGTTCAACAGCAATTACCATTTTGTTGTAATTTAAAGTGATGTGATCAGCTCAACAAGTCCACTTGAAAGTAAGGTTGAAGTTGCCTCCATTAGTGAAGGAATGAGGTCATTCTGAGTATCTTATTCGCAGGAAGGCTTTAAAAGTTCAAGGTGATCAGCATCTCAAAATGATTAAATATACTGATACTGAGAATTAGGCCTTTTGCAAATGTGACAGAGTGATGGGAACAAAGGATAATTTTTCTACTGATTTTTCCTCCTGAAAATAGTAACTCCATTTTTTTTTCCTCTTTAAAAGTGTATAATATCCCTAAAATTTGTGCAGTCTTTTCAACTTTCTCCCTACAGCTTACCAATGATTTTCTAGCATCCTTTTCCTGGCAGAAAAATTTAATGAGGTTTTATTTTTATATATTCTATATAAAAAGCCCTCTTAAGAAGTTTAAGTGGGAAGAAAAGAAACACATTTTATGGAACAGCAAAATCTCCAGTTGAGAAACAACTAATCAAATAGCCATGTGGATTTTGAAATTCAGAGTGGACTCACCTTGGAGAGTGATTCTTGAAAATCCTGTAGCTCTTTGAAAATTTAAAGCAGCCCTAAAGATGGGGTGAGATAGGCAGCCATTTAAGGGAAACTTTTCACACTATTTTGAATGATATGGGCTAAACTTCAGGGTTATTTTCATGACATCAACTATCAATCAACCGGATTCGAAAATACATTCCTCTCAAATGTTATCACATGGACATATTTAGAAAAAATTTTATCAGAGTTGAGGATTTTCACAGAAAAGTGCAAGCTGCTGTGTGTGGAAAATGTTCCTATTTGAAAGATAATAAAAAACTATGGAAGGGTTCTCATTTACTACCTACTATATAACCTGCTCCTTTTAGTAGTGGAAAAGCTTAGACACAGAGATTTAAGAAAAAAAAAGGTTGAGTTAGACCCTCAGGACTAGTTAGCAAAAGAGTTAGAAAAGAGGTGAAGCCAGTTTCATCAAGTTACAGAACGTTGCATCCAGATTATGATGGAAGACCTTAAAAGGCCATCTGAACTGACATGGAGAATGCAGTAGGGTTAATCAAACCAGATCCAAACTTCTACTTCTGGGCTCAGTCTACCAGTCATGAAAGATTTAGTCACAAATGAAACAATTATAAAAACTTTTGAGATTTTATGTGATCCTTAATCACATCATTTTCTTTCGTTTGTTTGATGCTCTGAATTTTTCGGGAAAGGGTACTAAATTGGAGTGTTTGAATCACATCTCTACCACCATTTATTTTTGTGACCTTGGGAAATTCACTCTACCTGTCTCTGGGTGTGACTACCCTCTTTGAAATTGATATTTATAAGTAGAGGCCCGGTGCCCTAATTCATGTATGGGTGGGGTCCAGCTGCTGGGGCTGACTGAGCCAGGCTAACTGAGGGGAGGGGACATGGGCTCTTGGCTGTCCACCAGCAATTGGGGTGATGAACTCCTTTACCTTTTCCTTGTCTATGAAGCTCTTTATCTGCCTTCAACTCTAAAGAGCTTTGCTGGGTAGAGAAGGGTGTGGCAAGATGTATTCAAAGCAATGAAGAGCAAGGACCTGCAGCCAGGGTGACCTTCCTTTTGAAAGGAGGTGGCTGCTCCGGGTTTGGGCTCAGTGAAACCCAGTCAGTCTTTGCATCAGGTGAGTGGAATCACCGAGGCCTATCTGAGAGTAGCCAAGGCTGGGAGCGTGATCTCAGAACAGTTAAAAACATGTTCCTGAAGGGGTGTTATGGGTTCTCTCTTATTAAAAAGCCCAGGGTTGCTTTAATATCCATGAGCCCACGCCTCTAGGAGCTGGCGGGAGGTTGGAAGTGGCTGTAGATGAAGCCAGTGTTAGGTGACCTGGCAGGTGTCAGCAGCTTGGCCGCCTGAGCCCCAGGCTCGGGGATATGCGCTCTGACATCCCCACCATGCAGAGGATTTGACAGCATCCACAGTGGCTTCGGAGCTTGTTGCTATTTTGTTTTATTTTTATTTCCTTCTCCTTTTAAACCTCTCAAGGTCCTGTACCTTTGAGAAAGGAGCAGCCTTTGCTGCCTCCTTGGCAGAGAGCAGGCCTTTCATCTGGATTCACACACAGCAGGACAGAGTCCTGTTTACAAACACGTGTGGGTCTTGCAATATTTGCATTATTACTGATAAAGAGGTTTCAGATTCTGACACCTAAATATATCTCCTGCTTATCCACTAGGGCAAGAGGTTGAGTGCAGACACAGGCATAGCCACAGTTGTTCACTCAACTCATAGGCCTCCATCCAAGGGTGGCAATGCAGGCCCTTTGCACATGAAGGGCGGAGGAGCAGGGTCGGGCAGCAAGTGCAGAACATGGCCATGTGCGGCCCTGCTTTTCCCAGACCTTCTATCTCAGTCCTCATCTTCCCGCTCCGGGTCTATAGCGTCTTCCTCCTGAGGCAGATGCAGGAGTCTGCGGGACATGATGTTGATCACACGCAGTTTCTCCGTGTGGGTGGTCAGCACGGGTCTTGCATCAGGCTGCCTTTGGCATGGTGGTGGTGGGGGAGACAACATGAATGTGTGAACACAACCCATGCAGACTTCTCGCTGAGTGCCTTTTGTATACCTGGTGGGCATCTCCCCACAAAACGGGTGCTGACAGCACAGTCATGCACTCCCTGTGTCTGTTACAAGCAGGTAGAGGACCCAATCAGGGTGGGGCTGGTCAGGGAAAGGGGCTACAGGAAGTGGGAGGGCAATGGGGACAGGATCAGGCTGGTTGGCTGCCGTAGTGCATCATAGCCACCGGTGGTTCCAGTTGTTCTGGTCATTCTGCCATAATGGTCACTGGGCTTTTATTTATATAGATGCTCATCAGGTTTTTAAAAAATATATTTTTTATTAATTTTTGAGAGGGACAGAGGGAGAGAGAGGTAGAAATATCAATGATGAGAGAGAATCATTGAACAGCTGCCTCTTACCTGTGCCACAATGAAGATTGAGCCTGCAACTGAGGCATATGCTCTGACCAGGAATTGACCTGTGACCTTTTAGTTCATAGGTCAACACTCAACCACTGAGCCATGCTAGCTAGGCAGGGTTGTTTTGTTTTGTTTTGTTTTGTTTGTTTGTTTTTAAGTTTTTGAAATAGAGGTCAATTAAAAAACATCCTAGTTCCTTTCTAATAGAACCTTCAAATTCAAGGTTCCTGACCTTGAATTTGTTACTTGAAAGAGTTTCTAAATATTAGTGTGTTCAGCTAGCAGTTAACAAAGAGAAGGGAGCTAGACTTGCTGGGCCTGATTGTGTCTGTAAGTTCTACTTAAGACTAAATCTGGAATGCACAGCTTTAGACACCCAGGCCATAGCTGAATTCCTGTCAAGGGGATTAACATCCCTACATATCCCCTCTCCATCACAGTGGAAGGAGGCTTCCAGTCTCCCCAGGGACTTACCTGTCCACTTCACTGGACTTTATTTAGGTGGGGAGAGCTAACAACAGAGGGGGAATTCCTCTGCTGAGGCACGTGCAGTGGAAGGCAAGATGGCAGAGGAGAGGTCCTTCTACTCTGAGGCATGTGCAGTGAGTGGGAGCCAGGACAGTGACCATAAAGGGAAAAGGATCAGAATGGATGAGGGCATGGCAACTGGGAGGTCTAGAAAAGAGATTGGATAATGGAGTGAGGGCCCAGCACAAGGCTGCAAAGAGACAGGAAACACATTGATTAGTTTGAAAGAAAATCTGCTCTTTCCCAGGCTGAAGATAATATGATCAAAGCTTAGCAAAGTCCCCTCCTGGTCAGTAGCACACATTCCCGGTTCCTTTCCTTCCCACACTCTCTGTGCAGCCATGTGGGGCTCCAGTGCACCTCTGTGAGCATGGGTCTGGTGCGGCAGCCAGTGCCAGCTGGAGTGCAGCAGGAACAGAGACTAGCTGGCTAGACAGGACGGAGACTGAGCTGGACTATGAGCGCTTTGGCATGAAATGAACTGAACTACGAGAGCTTTGGATGCTCTGTCCATGCAGGGCCAGTGGCACAGAACTTCTTGACACTGGTCCTTCTGGGATTGGTGAAGACAAGTGTGGGCTTGAAGCCCCAGAGAATGGCCTTCTCCTGCAGCAAGACTGGCTTCCAGTCTCCCAGGGGGCTCTGCGTCTGGACATGGATAGGGCAACAGGCACCTGGGGACAGTTCTTTATTTTTGCTCCAATAAGTATTACTACTACAACTCATCTCCTATGCATCGTTCCCGAAATGCTTTCCTTATGACTCCACAGAAGAGCCTTAATTCCACTAGCAACACAATGAGTTATAGGCTACAGCAGATTATCATCAAACACAAATATTCATAAAGTCAGAAAATTGTCATATTTTGGAGTATTAATGAAATGTATATCTCTTTAATGTGAGGTACAATGTGATAAAATTAGTCACCCCCTGCAAGGAGATATCACATATCTTTAGCGATTGGAAGGACAGTATAAAAAAAAAAAATGCTGTATCCCATTTTTTTGAAATGAGATAATCCTGTGAAGTGAGAAAAATCCTGTGAAGAAAAAGAATTTAAATATAATTCAGATATTTATTTGGTTTAGCCAAGATGTTGGTCTATAATTTGGAGAGAAGCATGTAATAACCTCATCTACAAATGTATATAACGGTTTTGCTTTTTATGCCTCTTGGTCTTATGTAAGTGGCAAATGTGGCATATGAAATGCACCAAAGTGTATGATTTCTTGTTGCAAAACTCAAGATCGACATTTACTTCGAAACTGGTATTTTCTCATGCTCCAGTTTAACAAAAATGTAGTTTCTTACTCATTTGTTCTTGGTGAAAGCTTTAGTCCAATTCATGGGGTGGGGGAGAGAGATGGGGAAGGAATCAATGTAATTTATGACATCTGCGTTTAGACACTGTGATGCTGCATATTACTTGAATGGACCCAAAGATACACAAATATTA